GCTCGGTCCCAAAGGTCAATGTTGGACCCGCTTACCCATCCGTTTCAATATGCAAAGGAAAAGTTGAGGTCGCTCGTTACCTATGACGGTTACGGGGATGAATATACCCCTAGCGTGATTCCAACTGCCGAATGCGAAGCACTGCCCGCAGATGCTCGCGATCCGCAAGGACCAGCTGAAAAGCCATCAGGTAGCAGCCGATCCCCGGTGAAAACCAGTGCACCGGTCCCACCCCTGCAATTCTCTCAGGGGCCAATGTCAACTGACCGCAAGCAGGGTGGTAAGCCTCCTGGCGGTCCGCCACCTGATGATGATGGCGATGGCGATGGTGATGAAGACGAAGGTGATGGCCTCGGGCCTAACCTCGGAAATGAAGCATTCGCCAAGATGTTGATGAAACTAGTAAAAGGCCAAACGAACGATGAAAAGCCCAGAACCCGCGAAAGCGAGACGTTGCGATTCAAGGAAATGCCAACTCCTGAAACGTACCGTGAATGGAAAACATCGGTTCGTGAGGATGTCCGCGCCGCATCTGACCGTCCAGACGAGGCTTGGCCTTGGATCATGGAAGTCTGGTCCGATCGCGAGGACAAGAAGAAGCTGTTGGAGGAGCTCGGCGAACCGGGAAAATTCGTGACCCTAGACACGAAGATTCTCGCAGCGCTCACGCGTTCAGCGAAAGGCGATCTGGCTCAGCGAATCCTAACAGCAAAGGAAGAATGTGCCAAGGAGGGAAAGGCCATGAGAGGAAGGCAGGTCTTGTTTATGTTTGACCAATATTTCAAGACCAGTGAAGAAGCCGGAAACCTCTACTCCTTGGAGGACCTGTTGCGTGTCTCGCGACACGGCGAAGGAATCATTGATCTCAAGCGTTTCCTGAACGCTTGGGATTCCGTGATCGCCGGCATGAAAAGGCCGCCGGAAGAAAAGGTGTTGAAAGACATCTTGCTTCGCCAAGTGAGAAGCTGCCATCTGTTGCGGTACGACATTGACACATATGATCGTTGCCGTGATGATGATCCCAATAAACCGTACGATTTCCTAATGCGTTGCATGAGGGATCTAATCGAGAGGGATAGGCTTCGCGAGAACCGAGAGCGCGTGTCCAAGGTCAATGCCAGTAAAGCCCCGACGCCCAAGGCTGGTGCTGCCGCCCCTGAAAAGAGGGACCCCAAGAAAAAGAGCGCACCTAAGCCGAAGGACACCGAGGAGAAGTACTGTTTTGACTTCCAGAAGGGCTCGTGCACGAGGGGGGCAAACTGCCCTTACGCGCACCGCAAGGAGCCGCGAGGACGCTCCGCGACCCGCGGCAGGCCAAGTTCCCCCAAAGGCGGTAAAGGAGAGAAAGCACCGTGTTCTTTCTTTGCCCAAGGGAAGTGCACTAGAGGTGACAAATGCAAGTTTAGCCATGCCTCCACGGGCGGCAAATCTGCCGCCGCGGCATCGAGCAGCGAGGCCAATGCAAATCCTGCGGCTAAGAAGCGTGCAAATTCACCTAAGCCTAAGCCCAAGGCCAAAGCCGCTGCAGTCTGCACCAGGTACGCCATGTTCGCAAAGCCGATCGATCCAATCGGAGTGTCATTCGACACCAATGCTCATGTGCATGAGATCCCCGCCGAAGGCGATGGTTTTAAGCTTGAGTATGAGGAACGGCAGTACAATAGGATGTTTCCAAGTGCTAAGGACTGCCCCAGGCCGACCAAAGGGACTAACAAGGCAGCGCGAAAGGCCGCGAACCAGTTGAATGCCGTAGTCAAAGCCATGGAGAATGGAGCCCAGCCCGCTTGCGGTTTCATGTGCGATGTGGAATCCGATTCCATCTCAAGCCTATCGTGTGATGAGTGCCTGAGAGTTGCCATGCCGCCTCACGATGTTCGCAAGGATGTCGAAGCGCCAAGGGCAGCCACCCCTGCCCCAAAGGGAAAGGATGTGTGGCTCATTGATTCCGGTAGTGAGCAGGACCTCATCAGCAAAGCTGCACTGAGGAATACGTCCAAGGCAATTCGAAAACAGGCCCCTCAGCCCATTCGCCTTGTGTCTGCAAACGGAAACATCACTGCTTCCGAAATCGCCGACATCAATGTCGATGCATTGTGTGAGCCTGCTCAGCCTTACATCCTCGAGAGTTCTCCCGCAGTGCTGTCGCTGGGTGTGAAGTGTTTGGATCAAGGATATTCCTTCCATTGGGGATCCGGGAAGGCGCCAACCATGGTTCGCCCTGATGGTGCTCTGATCCAGCTCAAGGTTGACGGTCATGTGCCATATATGGATTCTAGCTGTGAAGCTGAGCCATCATTGAGTGCAGTAGCAGCATCCAAGCCAGCGCCTGCGCCGGTTCATGACGAAGGCATCGACGAAGGTGATGATCCCGACGATGAAGTTGAGCGGTTCGTGAGATCCCGCAAAGAGCAAGATCTGGTTGCCGAAGCAGGTACCAAAGAGCACTTGTTTGCACACTATCCGAAGAATCCCTTTTGCCGCACTTGCCAACGTGCCAAGATGCTTGCCCCATATGCAAGATCGAAAGGCGGGCAGGGAAGGCTCGAGACGAAAGCGTTTGGAGATCACATCATTGCTGATCATGTGATTCTCAAGGCCAACATCGAGCAAGGCATCAAAGGTGAGTGGTGTGCTCTTGTGATCAAGGACGTGCATACGCAGTTCAGGTACGTTTACCCATCGACCAGCAAAAGCACGGAGCAATCCGTTGCAGGGATCCAGCATTTCATTTCCGGTAGGGATGAGGTTGAGGTTCTCTACACTGATAACTCCCGGGAATTGAAAGCCGCAATAGAGCAGTTGGGGTACCGTCATCAGACCTCCATTGAATATGTTGATTCTTCCAAATCTTTCGTGGAAAGGGAAATCAGACATCTGTTGGAGGGAGCACGTGCGAACCTTGTTCAGTCAGGGTTCCCACTGTCGATGTGGCCATTTGCCATCCAGCACAATGCAGTTGCGACCAACATCCTGCCACAGTTGAATGGAAACGATTCGCCATGGTACCTCAGGTTTAACAAGACATTCGATGAAGCTGAGATACCTTTCGGAGCAAAGGTACTGTTCTGGAACAACCCTGCACGAGCTGACAATCAGGCAGGCAAGACTTCGCCAACATCAAATGAAGGCGTGTT